TTGTTGTGTGTGTGTGTGTGTGTGTGTGTGTGTGTGTGTGTGTGTGTGTGTGTTTTTAAATATTATTCTACACCTTTAATACTGCAAAAGTTATGTTAATATATATAATTTTGATATATTATTTTATTATAAATTTTAATGTGAGTAAGAACGATGTGCTTTTAAATATAAATATAAATTGTATAATATAATAGTTGGAGTCAATAAAAATTGTATTTTAAATATAATTTATTTAATAAAAGAGAGTTTTCGATCTGAAATTTCTGACGCACAATTGAAAATAAAATAAATAAATTAGATAATAAATTAAATCTGAAATTTTAAATTCGCAAGATGTAAACAAAATAAATCAACTCAAGAAATATTTGAAAGAGATTTTGAAGGCCAATTAAATGTTTCAATATATTCAAAATGCAGGATGTTTATTTATATATATATGTTTTCTAGGAATAACACTCCTTTGTGCGGTTGTTTTTTTTTATTCATTTTATTTAAATTGTTAATATGTTATTTAATTTACTTCATTTGTTTAGAAAAAGTAGAAAAAAGTTTTTTTAAATAAATTGTTTTCTAAATTGTAATATTTAAATATTATACAATACATATAATTATTATAGAATATTCAGAAATAGTGAAATAATGTGCACATCTATTAAAATTCTTTATAAACATTACAAAATATTTTTTTGCAATAACTTTGCATAACAAAATGTCCGCGATACTTGCCCTTAAAATTTTACAGAAAGGTAACTGAAAAGTCTGCATCTTTTTGAACTATTGCTGAGAAATGACAGAAATGACTAAAACCTTTCTAAAATATATAACTAAAATATTAAATATATATATAACAATATTTCAAGAAAATTGCAAAACAAGATTGCAACATTTCACAAGAAACACATCTTGTATACCCTTCAACTATCTTTCTGTATTTCAAGCACAAGTATCATTTCAATCAGATATTTTATTACATCATAGATATTTTAATAGTGAAGCTATTGCAGAAATGCATTTCACAATGATAAGATATTTAAATTCTATCAGATGAAACATTGCTAAAATACTCCTGAAATGTTTCTGTGCCACAGAGAATCTCTTTTATCTTATCTTTTTTTCGCTAGTTCTTTCTTCGAATACATGCTTCCTGAGGGCGCCATTGTACGATGAATCTCTTCAAGTCATTTTGACGCTATTTGCGATTGCGCCAAGTCGAGAAACCGTTACAAAGTCGATTTAAATCCAATGCTGCAGTTTTCGTGCAGCAAATGTTGAATGGGTGTGTTCAGTAACAACTGTTCACCGAGTAGCTAAGTAGCAATTTAACTACTGTGATTGGTTGGAAGCAAAGGTAAGAACTAATAATATTTGACTGCTACTTAGCAGCTTAGTGAGTAATATAGTACTGAATGAACCCGTTATGTATAGCTATTACTTTCTACTTGTCACATAAGTTCATTTAAGATGTGTTATTATCGACAATTGCGAATAATTACGAACGTAAATATTGAGTGAAAACAGTATGTCTTGCAAGTTTAATTCTCAAAGTAAAAGTATTATGCGAATTCTTATTCGTAACTTTAAAATGCAATCTTTATGATTATCCTTACATTCTTTTCTTTTTAATCTTTGTTTCTAAATTAATAAAGTTTTTCAGTATATGTATACTATACATTTAATGTATACTATAATTTTGATTTTTATTAATTTACCTTTGATGGACAAATAACTGTGAATGGTTTAAAAATTGAATTTAAATTTATTTCCACTGTTTTTTCTCATTTCAAACTTCCATTTTAAATTTTCTCAATTGTTTACGCATGAATGTACGTGATAAGTAAATGAATTTCTGTAATATATAGATTCACTAAGTTCTGATTATGCAAGTCAATTTCCCTATGGGTATTTTAATTAATTTTGATTGATTTTGGGGTTGATTATTACTTTTCATTCATCCATTGACTTGTATAGACATACACATAGTACAATTGTAGAAAAATTCTGTATTCACATTTTATATTTTTCTGTCACAACAGTTTTGTCTGCTTCGAATGCATTGATGAGCAAAATAATGAAGGATTATATTAATAAATATTTCCTGAAAATTCACAAGAGCTGAGGAAATTGTGTGTTCAATTCCAGGATGATTTGGTTTTTGTTCTTCATTATTCATGAAATATCAGCTCACAACGCTCATATAATTTTAAGGGATTTAGGAGAGAAAGAATATTCCTTGATAAAAGGTAAGAATTCGAAAGACTAAAGCTAGCAAGTAATAATTAACAAGAAATATATCTTTTTCAGCAAAGACATCATTGCCACAGCATGGAAAATGCTGGCATGCTGCACTTCAAGCGTTAGAAGGCAACTGCGACAGACTGAATGATCAGGAACATTCATTTCTCGCCTTGCGTCTGGCAAATTGTTTTTTGGAGGATTCCGGTTACACGACTTATGATTGCCATCTCAGTCAGTCGGAAGACGAGCGTCGGTAAAACGAATATCTTTTATCGCCAATCTATTTTCTCCATTTTATATTTCATCTTGTGATAATCTGATCTCACAGGAAATGCATTGCCAGCATGACAGATCGAGCATTTAGTGTTTACAATGAATTTTACACTCATGCTACCCATATCTGTTTCTTTTTAAGTCACGAAGCTTGGCAGGCAGAAGTTGACAATACTATAAAGTTGTAAGTATATATATATATATAATACTCTACGTAATATTTTTATACATAGTTAAATGGAAGTGTTCATATATTTCTATATACTGTTCAATTTGCTACAGCAACGACATAACTCCAAAAAACAAAGTTTTCCAGAAAATGAATTTTGAATCATTAAAATTTTGTAATATTTTTTTAAATGCGATTTCGATGTAATAAATTTATAATAACTTATAGAGTAATAAAAGTATTATTAATTCTTTACTCAATATTGAATTTTCATCTACTATAAAAATAAGTCCTTAAAAGCAATTCTTTTTAGCTTATGATATAAAATTTTCTTTAAATTTATATGTATAAATTCAATAAACCTTATTTTTGCTATTAATTATGTGTTGTTACTTTTTAATGGATTATTGATATAGCCGGTCAAAGCCAAAATTTTCTCTATAATATTTTGAAAATCAATTTAATAATTATATATATATCTTCTATATCTATATAATATCTATATTTATAAATCTAGATTGTTTCAAGTATCTTCTCGAATGAAGGATCAATTATTGGAAGCATCAGAAATGCAGAGTGTGATATTGAACAGTCAAAAGGAAGGTTTGCGTATTCAAAACGAGCTTTTAGATCACGGTAAAGAGCTCGGGACCGTGTTACAGACTTCGTCTGAGACAGTCAGCAATATGGTATCAGATTTTAGGTGAGTTAATAAAATGGATAGGATTTATAATAAAAATTTAATCATTGATTCGAAACTTTTGATTAAATTTTAGAGAATCGGCCAAAGATCAAAAGGAGTTACTTTATGAGATTTTCTCATATATACGCACTTTTCAAAATTGGATTATTGGAGAAGTATCTTGGTTCCAATCCATCATATTTTATACTATAAGTTGTATTCTTTGCGCATTATTCAGTTCTTCTAAAAGTACAGCTGATGCAAGAGTTAAACTCTTTAGTATCCTAAGTTTAAATATAGTGGCTGAGAGAATATTAATTCAATATTATGATAAAATTATACCTCAATCTCCAGATGATAAGGTAACCTAATTACAAGGTTTCAAAACAAATCTTTTCTTTTTATCAAGAATTTATAATTTTTTTTATAGACACATCTATTAAGTACAATATGGTTGTATAGAAAAATTGCCTTAACACTTTGTGCCGTAACATTATTTTGTACATATTATTGTTACAAAGATGGACAGTTAGAGAACTATAAAACTTTGCAAAGAATTGAACAGCAATTGGATACCATACAAAAACTACAATTATCTCCAACAGCATTGAACCAATTCGTAAGTATTTAATATATAATTTTATTATCTGATTAATTTCTATATAATCAACTCTTGTATAATTGTATATTGTAGGTTATTCAAAACGACTCGCATTGAAGCGTCTACATGTGGATTCTAGTGAACGAAAGGCTATCATTGACAAAAAATGACAAATAATTAATAAAATTATTATCTACATATATTTTTTACTGACAATTGTACAAAGTGAAATGAAGATATAATTATATATTTACAGAAATATTGTATATGCATTTATATCACATAATTCTGATAATAATATAAATTGTTAATGATTTAATATAGCACTACAAAATGAAAAATATTATACTGTTGGATATCTTCGTAAAAGATATGTGATCTGCTTATGGGTTTGATTCTTACTACCAGGTACAGGTATCATTTGTTCCTTTATTATATGTGCTTGCTGTACATTTTTTTGATAATTCTTGTAGCATTCATCCAATGCTTTTAATTCTGGAATACATTTTTTATCTTCGAACTCATTCTCTTCAAGACATGTTAAAAGCAAAGAGGTTTCATATAAACATCCTTTCTCTAAAACAAGAATACATATGAATTATAGAATAAGTCTTTCTGCTATTATATCTTATAACAATTATATAAAAAATATGGAAATACCCTATGGAGAATGAAATTTACAGTCTGCATTATAACAAATAGATAACCGAAATACAATAATAAATATAATAAAATTATTCTTTAAATATACCTAATGTTTTTTGACTCTTTGAGCTTACATGATCCTTTAGTTTCAATGGTAAGACTGCTTTAAAAGGTACCTTGTTCTCATTCTGTGGTTGTCTTGCATTACGAAATAATACCGACATTAATTTCATCTTTCTGTAATATAAAAACACTATGGTACAGAGAAATAATATAAAAAATATAAAAATATATTATTTTATATCATTTTAATTCACATAATTCCATATAGTTTTAGTAATAGTTTTGTTTTATGGACCTTTTTGAATTAGTTTAGAAAGTAAACTTTTTGAATTAGTTCATGTTTGTGAACTAATTCACAAAGTTTGAAATGTTTGTTATTGCAAAACTAGTGTCAATAATATTGTTCTTTATTGCAATACAATAAAAGTGAGACTAAGAATTCACTGAACTGATTGCATTAGATTTAGAGTTAATGCAAGCAACACGAACAAAGCAATTAAATCATTAATTTCAAAAAAACTTTAAGTATTATAATACATTGAATACTAAGTATAAAAATAGAAATCTATTTAGGCTAAATGAATTTTTATATATTTATATTTTAATATATTGCAATTAAAATTATAACATGCAAATTAAAACTATGGGCAGTTTCTGTTAATAATTGAAAATAATCATTAAATGTCAAATTTGTAAGATTAGAAAATCTTATGTTAATGTATAATAATTAATAATATAACAATATTAATATCTATTTTTAAACTTATAAGTATTGTTATATATATATATATATATATATATATATATATATATATATGTAAAAAAATCTAATAATTCCACAAGTATAACATGCTGTGTCACCACTTTTTATACTACTTTTGCACTGTAACATTTTCTATTGTCTATATTCTATGTTATCGCTCGTATTACTTTTACTTTAGTTTTAGTACAGACTATGCGGCAATAAAAAACAACTCTAATATAAAATAAAAAATTCCAATTCCTTAAGTGAGGTTAAGATCTTCATAAAATTCTAGTCGGAATGATTGGATGTGTGGTTTTTCTGTTTATATTGACATGCGCAATTATACATAACGGAATATAATTTCACTATAAATAGTTAACAATTATTTCCAAACATACATTATTTTAAGTTAGTCTCAAATCAAGAAAAAATAACTTCTGTTGGATCGCCACAATAATACGTTTATCAATTTTCGAGATAACACAACCGCGGACAAGCAGATGGCAGCAGCGTTTCGTTTCAATTTCAAAACTTGATTTATTTAATTTTTAAATAACTTTAAATAATTGTTACAATTATTTTTTCTTTGTTCTTTATTGCAATAGAAGTGAGAGTAATAATTCACTGACTCACCTAAAATCTGATATCATATCGCTTTAAATAATTGTTACAATTACTTTTATATATAGTATTCAATTATTTCCGAATGATTTCATCTTTGAGATGTCAACTTTATTTTGTTCAGTACATCATTATTGAAGCATATCAAATTTTCTGAGTTTCAGCGTTTTAAAATTAGTCTTTACATGGCATTTAATAAATTGTTGTGCTGTACTAAAACATAATATACTAACATAAAATTGTAAAACTCCTATTTGTTATTGTTAAATAAAAAATAATTTATATCTATTTCTATTGTCTATTAATTTTAATTTCGGTTTAATTTATTCTTAATCTTTTTCTAATTCTTGGAAATAAAGAAAGATAAAAAGCAAATTAAAGTTTGTTAATAAAATATAAAGTAAGTTAATCTAAATTGGTAGAAATGGATGTTAACGCAAAAACATTTAAGTAACAATCTATCCCAGACAGCACAGGACAGCCAATGGACATCCAATAGACATTTTGGTTTTTATTTAGTTCAAACCATGGACCACATTTTAAGAACATATATTATTAGATATACAAAATATATTGACTTCTGCACGTTTTAAAGATATTCATTTCATGTACTTTTAACAAATTTGCAGTTGACTTGCTTATGCCTTTATGTATGGTATGGTATTATATTTATGTTATAGTTTATATGTATAGTATTATCCATAGATCCATAGATCTTATAATACTGAATAAAATTCCTTGTTGACTAAAATTGAGGTCCGAGTTGAGAGAGCGAGAGAGTAATGTTTTATCCTTCTGTTTCTATATGATAGAGGGAGAAAGCAATACCTTATATCCTTTTATGTATTTTCAGAAACTGAAGGATGGAAGATATGACACTATTGTCTCCATCTAAAAGAAAAAAACATATTCAATATTAAAAGATCTATGTATGGATGATCCAGGTACCGATCATGTAACTTTTCCTAGGGTCGTCACGTAAAAAGTGAAAATTGGTATAAATTAAAACTAATGAATTTACTTTTTTCCGCCCTAGAGAAAAAGTTACATGATTGGTCTTGATTTTGAGAAGAGCAAAAAATGTGCATGTCGACGCATCCAAAGTTAGGCCTTGCATACAATGGAGAAACAGATGTAGAAATTAGAAAAAAAAAATATTAAATTTTGGAAATAAAAATTAGAAATAACGCAAAATAGACATAAGTAAATATAAGATAAAACTATCTCTTATACTTATTTGTATTAATTATGTTTTACGTTTAATCTTTATTCCTAATTTTTATTTTCGAAACTTAGTATTTATTTTTGTTCCTAATGCTTATTCCCCCATTGTATGCAGGACCTTAGGTTTGTTGGTATCCCTTGCATTTTCTTATTGGTATTTCTTCGCAAGTTTTGCACATAGCTTTTCGAATTGAGCTTGTGAAGTGTGACAACGTTCAAGAAAGCCAGCCAATTTGAGTTTGAAGGTAATAAATCATCAGTATTTAATTAATAAACATTTTTAAATTTTTACAAGAATATTTAGAAATATGCACTAATGCAATTAATCAATGATTTGACATATATAGTGTTTTGTCGAGATCAATCTCGGGAGATGAATGCGGATTTAAAAATAAGAAAAAAAGTTGATATAAACAGGTTCGAAAATGCATGTTTTCGAGCTATCCATTTTTACGTTGAAATTGTTTTGCTTTTGATTTTTTTGTCAAAATTAAAAGAAGAGATTGATTTTATAATATAATTAAAGTCGAATATAATTAAAATTACGGGCTATTTTAGCTCTACAGGATATACCACGTGGAATATCGCTCATTTTAAGAAATAAGATTCCAGTTATGCATCTTGAGTAAGACTAAAGTAGCCCGCAACTTTTATTTGACTTTAATTATATTAGAAAAACCATCTTTTCTTTCAATTTTGATAAAAAATTCGAAAGTAAAGCAATTTTCAAATTTCAACGTAAAAATAACGATAATTCGAAAATAACACATTTTCGGACCTATATCAACTTTCTTTCTTGTTTTTGCATTCCAACTTTTGAAATAACCTGTATTACAATTAAACTTTTACTAATTTATTATTTTTTAATGCAATATTGGGAAATTAATTTTAAATACGTACGTAAATGACGTCCAATATGTACGTGTTTAAAACACGTGCTATATGGGAATATTTTTTTTTCTCTATACAAAAGAAGTTAAATTTATTTATAAAATCACGTGAAATATTTAGCTTATTTTTTCCATCCAATAATAATTGAATTATAAGTCTCATTCTTTTTAGCTTTACTTCAATTTTTCGTAATTTTATTTCACTTCATGGCATGTCTTTGTGGCTGGGGATTACGCCAGGCATTTTGTAACGTTCTAATTATAATAAAATAAAAAAAGAAACAAGAAAGAAGAGCTTTTACTTTGTGATAGAAAAAAATAAATCGAAAAAAAACAATTTATATATATATATACATAAATTTCAAAAGTAATTATTAAATATACTAAGATCCAGTAATGATTGAAAAATGCCCATCTTATATTTCTTGCGTACAAAACATTTTATTAGTTTTTAAATATTCATGCGTTTAAAATTAAACTATCATTATGTCAACAACGTGACATAATGCGTTTTATCAAATCGAATAAACTGGTTCTCTTCGATCGCGATCGTCTCGTTTTCCTCCCCTCCCCTCCCCTTCCCGACATAATCACTGTTCCACTTCGACCACACAGAAATAGATTTTATGTATTCAGAAGAGAAAAATGTACATCTCGTTTCCTTTCTCTTTTTGCTCTTTCGCGCGAAAAAGCAGTCTAGATCAAATGAACGCTTAACTAACTTGCGCGCTGCTTTTATCGTGTCGATAAAGATTGGAGAACAAATCGCGCCGAAGGAGATCGTGATTCGATAGCGGGGCAAGCGGGGAGCTGTGGGGAAACTGCGAGGCGCGCGAGGAAACGCGCTTCTTACGCGATTAATGTTTAACCTCAAAATCGTGCGTGACGATATCACTTTGGTGACGAAGGAAGGCCACGGGCGCGGTGGAACGAGCTGTCGGATATTCCGATTGTGCCAAATAAAAGTGAACGGGAATCTGATCAAGAACGGGCTAGTGCTGTCAAGGTTTAAGGATCAAGGATGGCGGAACGCAAGAGAAGTGAGTTTACCGCGCAAAATCGGACGATGTGGATTGGACGGATTTTTTTTCATGCGCGGACGGCGTGCATTTTGAGACGGAGATAATAACGCGTTTTCGAGAAATAGAGAGAGGGAGAAGGAGAGGGGGAGAAAGAGAGAGAGAGAGAGAGAGAGAGAGAGAGAGAGAGAAGAAATAGT